CCTAGTGTGCTTATTGCTTCAGGCATAGACCTGGAGCAGGAACAGTGAGCATTTGCCCTTTGACGGCCACAAACAAGCTGACATACTTTCGAAGGCATCGTCTGGCCAATATCGCCGAGTCGATGGGTCAACATGCTACCGACACGCAGAAAGGCAGTCTCACGCAGATGCGGAACTCGCTTCATCGTAGGATCGATATGTGGCGACGCACACAGGTCCTTTACCTCCCGGCCGTTCAAGGCCTTATTGATCAGGCAGCCACGCGTGAAGGCCACGAGAACGCCGAATGTATACACCTCTGGTTACCTTCAGAACTGAAAACCAAGCCGTGCGATCCACGCCTACAAGAGGACGAATGGGAATTGCGCTACGCGCAGGCTCACGATGCGCTAGAAGAATTGCGGCAGTGTCTACGCATTCACTGCTCCTTACTGACATTCAAAAGGGAATGGGTGCGTGGTCAAGGCGCGAATACCCGTGCTCAGAATGCCCTTGCCCGCATCCACCGAAGGCATACGGCCTGCGTGAAACATTATCGGTCAGCATGGATGGCGCTCAAGAGCCTAGCTACAATCATGAAGAAGACCGGTTGGCAGGGAAGGTTGCAGGAATTGGCCGACACTCATGTCAAGCCCCTCGTGGACCCATATGCTACTGGCGAAGGGAGACGTCATGTATCGTGGATCTGGATGATGGATGGCATTGACCATGGCAATGAAGGTGACAACGATGGTAAGCACTCGTCGTGGTCTATATTTTGCGAACTAACATACTATAAGGTGTACGAATTGAGTGGTGCAAAACCCGTGCGAGGGCACTGCGGTGGTCGGAAGAGGTCGAATTACTCACAGAAGAGATGCGCAGGGTGCTGGAATTTTTTACCTGGCAGCAAGCGCGGTGGGAAGAACAGGGAAAGGCATGCGTTGGGGAGTGTGCCGCTGACATTGAAGGTTTGCGAGCTTATGCTGCCCGACAGGCTAACATCCGTCGCAGGCTTGCAGACCATTTTCGGGTGCTGTGGGCACCCTTTCTTTCACTGGAAGGTCCCATTGACCCGCCACCTCAGTTGGCCGAACATTCGTTACCGGACCTCATGATTCCCGACATTCTCTAACCTACTTCTGCGCTGTACCTGATCGATGTTCCTAGCTAGTAGTGTACCTGATATTCAATCCATCACCGGCTGTTATTTGACATTCGAAGTGAATTAAGTTGCCAAAGACTCGACTGGAAAATTGACCGAAATACAAATGACCGAGCTGCAAAGTAATTGACCGAGCTATATATACTATAGGACTGCTAACTAGCATGTTTTAATGCATCACAAGAAGGCTAATTAGCATAGTTGATGCATCACCTCTGACTGGTAGTTAGCAGACTTGATGCATCATAGCTACAGGGACTGGTGCGTGAGGAGGTAACTGACAGTCAGCGATTCACCTTTGTCGTCCACCTTTCGTATGGCAAAATCATCTCTTAATGCCTGGACTCCTTGACTAATTTCTTTGATCGTATTCGTTGCGCTCCATTAGAATTGGGAATGCATCACGAGTGAGTCAGCTTACCATGAATCGATGGCTAGAATTGCTATAATGTCGCCATAATATTGTTTCAGTCTATCAGCAATCACTCCCGCTTCCTTTTCCTTGAAAGGCCGTCAGTTCGGCACATACTCCAGAGCCCTCGCTTACATTGAATTGTTCACACCGTTCAGACCACCAGACCGTTCCTCTCAATTGCGCCAAGTCTCTCGCTCGACACGCCAACTCCGTCGCCATGCTGCTGTGATCCACGTCGACCAAATTGTACGACCATGTCATCTGGTACCGAAGATGGGACAATCAGTAGATAGGAGCTTGAGAAGTGGAAACGCATATGAGGCGGCAAGTGATTTCTATTTTAACGAGTTCATTGATGGCGAGATGTTTGGTGTGTCTGTCATAAATAGTCTGTAGATGGTAGTGTTACGCGAGTGCAACCTGTAGCTGCCAGTTGTTACTTGTAGCACATGTGTACCCATAGCTGCATGTAGTGAAGCTTTGGGCTATATAGCGCTATATAGCTCAATATAGTGTAGCGTGTGCCTATATAGCGCTACAGTGACTACGAGTGCCTACACCACGCTATATAGCTGCCACCAGGGCTACGGCAATATAGGGTTTTCCTGATGCATCCTTGGTCATCAAAAGCGAAAGTGCACGGCGGAGATTGTCAGGAAGAGAGTCGCGGTGATCCTTCTTGATCTCCATAACTGTGGCGAGGACTCCTCTAATTGAATTACACTGGTCAAGGAGCCTTTGGCAGGATGATGGAGCGTTGCGGACGGAAGCAACATCATGATATCCATACAAAAGAGCTGAAGCTTGCGCTATAGTTTGAACGACCTGAAGAACAGTGAGACCGCTGGTGATGGGATCCATCGTGCCAGTGGATAGTGGAAAACATCACCCTGGCAGGGCCATGGCTTTAAATCGAAAGGTTAGGCGCCTATTACTAGTCCATTTGCAACGCGGAGACCATGTGGCATGCAGAGAACTTGCAGAGAACCGATACTTACGCAGTGACTTCAAGAACTGATCATCAATTGCAAGTACGATAAGATGTCTGCCGAGTTTTATCTACCACTAGGCCTGATAAATATTCAAGGTGACTGATTAGAAGACTCGACTTGGCTTGATGTGCTCGACCACCCTACAGCTGGATAGACCTACTTAGCTACTCGAATGTGAACAAAATTACATTGCTACGAAAGGTGGAGGTCCGAATTCCTTAGTTCCGCCTTGGCGAGGAACATCACTCATCGAGTACATACAGTACAAATTTGTGTACGATAGCAAGGGCCGAGTTCGAGGCTGCTTGGCTGTGACCTCCTGAGCCATTCCACAACTTCATACCACCCATTGAATGATCCACATCGTTTCTGCCGGCAGAAGGACTCGGCAAGTACGATCTTAATTTCTCTGCCAGGAAACACCTCCGCGAGAAATGTCGCCATTTCTTTTGGATTGGCGGGAGATGGATCCGCATCCACCGATAACCGCATGCAGGTGGCACGCGCGGGGCGCGAGGACAAAATAGCAAGTGTTTGATCGTCGAGTACTGGCAACTCTGCCGTATCCGACGGGATACCAAGGTGAAGATGCGATAATTGTGGGCAATGCCTGGCAAAGGTAACCAGACTGATGAGATCTACAGTAGCCGCAATAGGAGGTGGCTGAAGAGCTGGTATGATTATGTTCAGACTGCCAGGCACATCAATCGATGTGAGAGCAGGTATGCAATAAAATTCCACCAGGTTTGGCCACCCGGTCGCAAGTTTCTTGCATAGAGTATTGTTCAGTGACATTGAGAAGTCATACAGTATAATGTATTGCAAGTGGGAGAAGACAAGCAGGTCTTCTATGGAAAGGAAGTATGGGTGAGTGGGACAAAGGGGCCCGTCAATGGGAAATCGGCAGGGGTTTATTCGGTCCACGATAATGGTCCTCAGGGACGAGTCCCATCCTCTCTTCGACGAGATCAGGGAGGTAAGCGTTTGCGCCATCTTTTCGCCGCGTGAGGAAGCGATAGTCAAGGAAATGCTATCCAGCACACTCGTATGAATAGCTTTTATGAGTGACACCATGAAATAGAATTCACTTGAGATCGTTAGACATCGCAAGGAGGAAAAGAGTCGATGACTTGGACGGTCCAAATCCTCATGCTGATTCCCAGTTGATGGGTTGCCCTGCTCTACGACCAAGTCAAGTGTGTGGAGCATTGTCGACTGTATCGCTATCAAGAAACCAACAGCAAAATTGGTATTGCTTGTCAATTTCAGTTTCCGTAAACGAGGGAACACGATCTCGAGGCCAGCGGGGTCAAGACCCTCGGGAACTCTTCCGCCGACCGAAAGATCTAGGTGCTCTAAGTTGCGTAACAAGCAAAGAGGAGCGATTGCCCTAGAGTAGAGCACGTGCACATAGCGTTCCCAAACATAGACTGCGGGATGGTGTTAACCGATGTGTGTCTTCTCGATTATGCCTTACCTTGTAATACCATCCTCCTGAGCTGAGGAAGAGCATCAACAAGAATGGATAATGAGGACCAGCTTTCCACAATGATGTCGAGTGCGAGATGAAATTGGAAACTCGCGAGGTTACTCCGAGATAACGGCACCCATGAAATGTCCTCTCTCTCATTCATCATGATGTCGGTGGGACAGCACATGTGAATGAGACGGGGTAGAAAAATCTCCATAGGGTAGACCGAAAGAAGCCAATTGATGACATGATTGGAGATCCAAAATTTATTGGGGAGAGGCCATCGACATTTAGCTACAGGCGAACCTATCCTCTTGATCCGTCGACCGTAAGGGAACATTCGTAACACATCCGAAGGCAAAGGTTTTCGAATTAAGTGCTAGAATCATCTATGAGGGAGACACATGCCGATCAGGGGAAGATATGATTTACAATGCTTCGTTCAGGCTGGTATGGTGTGTCGTCGTCGTCGTCATCCTCCCCAGTGACAACACGAGCGCGAACTTCAATGACGGACGGTGGCATGCACATCAGCAATGGTCCGAAACATACTAAAGTATCCCATAGCACATCGAGTGCTGGACCGCTCAGCGCATGGCACGTTGTCGCAACTGCTGCGAGATCCTGCAGACGAAGTGGATTGGGCTGATGAGATCCTTCGGGTCCTGATAGAAACGGAATTAGGAACTCGAAGATATTAGATGTAATGTCAGGGAGAAATAGAGCGTGGTGCATGGCACGATTCAAGCGTAGATCTTGACTTTGCGCTGTGATGTAGAGATACAAGCTGCTACTTAGGAAGTAGTAGATCAGCTCTAATCGTCTGAATTGATGCGAATAGGCCGCAGTACCCTAGTTAGTCATGTCACCACTGCCAGTAGCACCTCTTCGAGGTCTTCGCGTGTCTTCTCATTTCATTCCTAGCTTCAATCTCATTCCAAACACCTCCCTGCAACATTACCCTCTCATCATATATCATGAATCCTTCCCACCATCGACATCAGCTGCTGTCATCGAGGCCCACCTAAGGTCCGTCGGCGTTGTCGAGCCCCAGTGGAGGTACACTATGTACAGCACGACGCACTTTCATAGCACTACTCATGAAGTACTGTGCATCGCGTCTGGTCGTGCGAGGTTATGCTTTGGTGGAGAGGATAATCCTGGAAGGGTGGAAGCGGAATTCAACAAAGGGGATGTTATTATCATTCCTGCAGGCGTTGGGCACAGACTCTTACAAGACCTGGACGGTGGATTCGAAATGGTCGGAAGTTATCCCAAGGGAAAGGACTGGGATATGTGTTATGGAAGGGAGGATGAGAAAGCGAATATTGAAGCTATCAAAGACTTGGGATGGTTTGACAAAGACCCTGTGTACGGTGACGAAGGACCTGCAATGCAAGTAGTATATGCTGGCGTGTAACACTCAGCTGGAAGTCGTGCGGCGTTATTTCACCAAGCGAAAGAACAATCCATGGATCAGCGAGCCAATCCCGAAAACCAAGGGTAAGTAAAAAGCAGACGAAACGAAGTACTGTAGATTGTCTTCATATCAAGTATATGCGTAAGGGAAGACGCAACAAAAGTGCAGCGCGACAATATGGTCTGCGCATCCAGAAATTGTATAATACAAAGCTGCCTCAGATTGAATGTTCAATCATTTGCAGCCCAATTGACGCTTGGCTTCCGCCTCCGCCTCACTGACAACGCGCCCCTCCACTTCTTTCTCAACCTCTACGCCAAGCTGACGTACACGGCCACGATCCGCACCTATGAGCGACACATACACACCTTTCTGCAGGACTGGATACGAGCCTATCCGAATACCCTCAGGTTGTACTCGCTTTTGAAGGTCGGTAAGGAACGGGGCGATGGACGACTCGGGCAATCTAGAATCGCGATTAGTATATGTTTACGAACCATGGGATGAAACGCCTACGCCGTGAACACTTGGAGCCGGAAAGGTCGCTCCTCTTCAGGCGGGAGAGGAAGGAATGGTTTCAGGTTATCTAGCATCTTTTGGAAGAGACTGGGTATTCCTGGAAATATGCAAAGTTTCCCTTGCAGTCGAACGACAGGCTTATTGAAATTAGCAACTAGTCTTAGAGCTGTACTCAAGCATGCTCACCACCCATATGTCGCTTCCAACGAATATTACCTCGGCCGCATCAGGGAACAGTGCCATACGCTTGCGCGCCGTTCGCTGTTCCTCACTCTGCTTTGATATCCAAGCCCGATGTTTGCCAGCCTCCTCCATCCGAGCGAGCGTTTCGTCGTGATATACGAGGCCCTGGTCAAAAGACTTGGCCAAAGATGCATACGTTATGTCTGTAGTAAAATGAATATTAATGGCGTCATGGTCGTCTGCCGGTACATAATGAAGTTCACAAGGGATTGCGTACCGTCGTGGGTGGGCCCGATACCTCCCGACGTCACTACAAAATCATACAGTTGCACCATTCTCCGGCTGGCCTCGATACTGGGGCTCGCTGAGCAGCTGTGCCCCTCCAATATGAACATTTCAAGTAACGCACGTACATTTCAGCTTCATCATCCGCTATCACCTCTATGCGTTTCCTGCAAGTTGAATGATGACCAGCGCGTAGACTAGGCAGGAAGGGTCACTCACAATTGAATACCATGCTCAAAACAGAACCGCGCAAAGTAATTGGAGTTCCGGTCGAGCGTCTTTCCATTCAGAATTTCATCCCTTAACAGCAATTCTCAGTTTTCCGTTCGTGAACCCAGAACAGATACACACCCAATGATGAGCGCTGCGGCAGTCTTTATATGCCGTCCCTCGTTAAGTGTATTCTTCTTCGGTACAGGAGAAATGGGAAAGTTTAATGGTGGTAATTGAAAGGTCGGGTTATCTGGCGGTTGAACAGTAGATGACATTGGCCTCGAATGAGCAGGGAAAGGTGATCGACGTAGATGAGTAGAAAGGGAAGCAAGTCTTGCTAACGTGCGAGGATGCATGGCTCATGGAGCAAAGAATATCATGCAGTGGGAATGAAGATGGCGGTCATGAATATATGATTGGTTACCGGTATTATAAGGCCCAAGATTCGGTTCACAAGACACTGACGAACAGTGCAGCGAACTTGGTCATAACGAACAAGGGGCCGTAAAGCAACATCCCTGCAGGGCACAATTGCGTCATGTTTCTCAGAATACTCAAATACTGCTGCATCATTTAGAAAGCGTTCACCAATGTCGATGTGGTATTCAAACAAAAAATACAACCAAACCGCTCATCCCTGGGTCTTCGGTAGATGGTAATAATGTACACGATACACAAGAGGTATGTAAGTTGAAATTCGGATATCAACTGGGTATCACACGGCGCGGACTTTTGCGGGTTGGGCGTTTGGTGTCGGAAACCGCGTCAGATCCAACGATATCTTGAGACAGACGTCTGCGCTTCGGGGGACCATCGGGATTGGAGTCATCGCCCCGAGCAGGACTAGGTCCTGTGGAACAAGAGAACAAGGAGGGAGAAGACCAATCGGGTGCAGCATGAACCATCCTAGATAAATCCATAGGATTGAAGGTCTTGCGTGCCTCTTGTTCACCAGGGTCTCGGCAACGCTTGCAGGAGATACGGGAAGAGGCGTCGGAGGTCCTCCCGCCATCATTGCTTGCTGTAGCCTTCATGGCTTCAGCAGCAGCGTCTGCCTCCTGCGCAGCTTCCACCCTTTCGTGCACATCTGCGCGAGAATTCCCCGCTGCAGGGACGACTTCCTCTTGGATCACAGGGCTCGCTGGAGGAGAGGGAGGAGGTGCGCCAGTATCAGGTATACCACCAGAAACTGCTGTCATAGTGCTCCAGTCTGGAGTACCATAGAAAGCACCCTGGCGCCGGAGTTGGCCACCCCGTTGTGTTTTGATGTAATGCTTGGGAGCCTTCCATGGGTCACCAGCAGTGGCAGTCTTCACGTTGGCGTGCGCGCCAAGGATGGTGTCTGATGAAGTGTCGAATGTGGGTGTAGGAGTTGCCTGAAAGGTAGGTAGCTTTGGCACTGCGATAGCGCTTCGCAACTTTTCTGGGTTTGAAGCGGGTGTCACAGGCTCTGGTGTTTCCCGGACGACAGGCGGGGAAAGTAGTACTGAAGGTTCTTGCGCAGGTTGCGCGTTGCTTTCCAGGAAAGATGCGACGGCTGATGTTCGTCGTCGCTGTTCCGAGCGAATTTCCTCTATGATGGCCTGCTGCGAGCTGAGGATTGATTGAGTAAGCTGAGCGAGAACATCAACATGGAGATAACTTACTCCAGCTTCGTCTGCATGATCATGATTGATTGATCTCTTTCCTTTATTTGCGCGGCTTGAGTGGTCAGGATGGAAATGATGTCCAAAAGCTTGGCGTCCTGTGCAACAGATGTTTCCATGATGTACCGAACACCAGTGAGCACGTCAGTGATGTCAGGGGCCAACGATGACAGGCTAGGTGCAGAACTATCTGTGGAGACGAGGGATGTCATCTTTGGTATCAGATGTAGATGGGAGCGAGTGGGTTACGAGTGAGTTATGGGCGATTTATTTGTCGTACTGAAATCCAGGCCGCGCAGACCAGGCGCCTTAAGTAGCCCAATAGACCAACGCTTTGATCCTCTGTGACACCAGGATAGGATGTGCGCTTGGACAGCTCTTGCATCAAAGCAAACTATGCGCTTTGACACGCACTAGGAGTAGGCCGTCCATGTGTTGGGCTTTGGCCATGGCCAGCCTGGTTTGGTGCACTGCCCATTGGCTGGGTACCCACAATAATCTGGTATTTGGTGTCGTTATTCTACAGCAAATGAAAATCAAAGCTAGTGACGGCGGAGCTGCAGGCCAAGATGGGATATTCGTGCATGATTCATGGTGCGCAAGTTCTGAAAAGTAAGTTCAAGCGGAGTTATTCCTGGGCTCAGGTAAATTGCCGCATCACTGCCGCAACTTGCCGCACCCTAACGCACCACTAGTACTAGTACTGTCCAGTGTCGCACCCATACCAAATCATAGTACTACACACGAATCGAAGAATCGGAGTGATTGTGATTTATAGTCGCTCTGACTCTTCGATTCGTCATTTAAGGTCTTGTCCCAAAGGACCTGACGCTGTTGGACCTGCCACCTTCATACCACAGCCCCCCATACCCCAAGGGCCGTTCACATTTCAGACCGTTTGGGCCCCAAGCTCTGAATTGACCTCGACATAGCGTCAGAAGTGGCACACATGGAGAATTATCGCAGTCGATCACAATTAGCATGTACGACGTTTGTCTTTTTACCGTGCTTGCTTTTCTTTGACTTGTTGTCCTGTGTAGAACAAACATGTAGCTGACTTGAGTCTGACTGCGTGCACATATCAACGACTTGGCTGTGCGAGATTGTATAGTCAATAGATCTGGAAATTCACGAAAAATAATCGAGGGAGCCTGACGTCGTTAAGAAAGAGAAACACACCAAAAAGCCCAAACCGCGGCCACGAATTCAGCAAACATCGAGTCCTTCCAGCACCATTGGGGGAACTGGAGCAGACGTGACAACACAACGATATACATATCAATCGTATATCGCAACGAGTTCAACACATTCCCTCAGTACTGTATCTGAGCCAGCTATCTTGGGAGAGTAGCAACGTATAGTGATGACTGAAAAAAGACAGCAATAAGTGTCTGCCCTCGGAGTGCATCTGAAGACGCGTTCACACTTACGGGATGGTGCTCTATGAGTCCTTAATCGTCAGGCCATTAACAATGGACGGAGACATGGATCTTGCTCGTCCGAGGGTGAACTCTGTACAATTACCTGAAAGACTGATAGCTCGAGTCCAGGCCCACTGGCAGTGATCCTGAACCTTGATCCTCTTGAGTATAACGTTTCTTTTGCAACGGTCAGCATCATCGAGTCCGGTGCAATACACGAGTCTCACAGACGAGAATACAATTAATGGGATAGTAAAAACATTCTCTTTAAGTACAATGTTTCAGTTGCAACGATTAGAATTATCGAGCTCGATGCATTGCATGAGTGTCACAACGAGGAAACAAACTTGGTGGAGTAGCAAAAGATATAAAGAGAGCAACAAAGATAAAATAATTACCCACATGCCCAAGTATCAATGCCCATTTGCGTGTGGGAGAGATACACAACAGAGGAAAAGTACGAGACGAGCCCACCATGGGATGGGTGGTGACTGCGCAGCTGCTAGACTAGATGTGGTAGCATGAGTACCTGGTGCAGGGGGTGTCGTGGAAGTCGAGGCGGTGGCAGGCTGAGTTTGTGATGACGACGCCTGGGTTTGGCCGTGCAATTGGCTTTGCTGCTGCGGCCGCGGCCGCGGTTGTTTAGCAACAGCCAGTGCCTGCAGATGAGTCATTGAACAACAGCGACGGGAAACGCACGGGAACGAATACTTACCCCTCTGTCCTGTACTGTAGGAACATCGACAACGGGAGGGCCACCATGAGAGAAGATGGTCCGCCTTGAACGTTGCTGGAGTTCGGTTGCTCCATCAGTCTTGGAGTGAGAGTGGCGGAACAGCGACGAAAATCCGTTGAAGAGCGCACGTGGATTCGAAGAAGAGGCAGCGCGACGGGGGTCATGTGTGGAGGAATTGTGATGGGTACCGTGCGCTGCGGAGGACTGAGAGCACAAATATAAGAACAAGACCTGGTCAACAAAAGCAGATGACTCACCTGGACACCATCGAAAAAGCCCGGCGGTATTTGACGGGTATGAATAGCTGGACGTCGCGTAGCATCACTCTAGAATATCTTTGAAATGGTTGAAAAGCTTAAGAAACACGTCACATACGGTCGTTAACGATTTTTGAGCTAGGACCTGCAAGTAGGAGATTAGTATAGCTGTTACCGAAGAATCATGGGATTTACAAGAGAAATAGGCAGGAGGTCTTCAAGGCCAGCTTCTTTGAGGATGGCGTGAATGTCCCATGTGTACACATTTCCGTTTTTGCAACCAGTGACCAACACTTTTCCATCAGCGGAAAGGGCTGCGGACTCCAAATCATCTTCATGCTGGAGGGGTGGTCCGATCTGGTGATTCGTGTCGAGATTCCATAGACGCGCTGTTTTATCAAATGATGCACTTGCAAGGAGGCGGTTGTTTGAAGACAAGGAGATGTCCTTAACACTGGATGTGTGACCCTCAAGAATGGCAATCTGCTCCCAAGTGGCTGTGTCGAATATCCTAATCGGGTCATATGACGCAGAGATAAGCTTCTTTCCACCTGTGACTCCCACGTAAGCACTGTAGTTACAGGTGATAATGCACGTGTGTCGCACCTGTAAGATCAGGCGGATATAATGAATCAGGGCCTCCTCCAATATCTCCTGGATAGCTAGGGACTTTATATAGCTGTAGGTACGCAGAGGGTTGTCAGTATTACCGTACTATTAATAGAATCATGTGATCCGGTTACCGTGCCCAACGTCGCATAGTGATGGGAACGTTCGAGCTCGTCGTGTCACACGACGAGCTCGAGTATCTCACTTCAAGGTGGTCGGATTAAGAGCGCGTTTTGACAAATAGTGCGCCAGTAATGATTGCGAAACGTAGGGAATACATGCAAGTCCATAGGATGTGTATATATAACTAGTAATACTACTCCTCAGCATCACCATGAATTCCAAGGCGTGAAAAGTCATCCGCAACAAGGAGGACGTCCTGTAAACTCCTAGATACTTGCTCCACTACCTCGTCCTCTTCCTCCTCGTCATCCAGGTCATCCTGGGTGTCTACGGCTAAGGACGATGCGGTGTGATGAACAGGCGGGGGTTGAACAATCATGCGGGTGGGGATCTGTGCATTAGCTATACTCGCGCTCTCGCCGGGACTTGTGTTCGCACTGACACCAGGGGTTAGCGTCCCTCTGAAACCTGGAAGCTTCGAAATGTCGTAGAGTCGTTTGAGATGTCGTGAGTTGAAGCGACCTCGAGTGTTTCGGTGGATGGCGATTTGATGTGCAAGGGCTGGGCTGGTGGCTTGTAACTGATTCTCGCATTCCCGTAGATACCTCTCTTCATCGCGTATATAGGTAATGAGGCGTCGTACCTCAATATCGAGACGCTCGATCTCTTCACGAGCACGACACGTTTTGAAGTAGAGGTCCATCGCGCTACGAGCAGCGGTCGATGACCACGGGTGTCGAGATATGTCCACGCGCGTATCACGTAGTAAGTCGAAGTCTGCGAGGAACGCATACTCTACGACCTCATCCCACTTAAGCGTCCGGCGGGGAGGGTGCATTGACCCAGCAATAGTGTTGTATGTGGTGAGGGCAGTTCTGATGGCGACGGAACGCGTTTGTAACGCCTTAGCGATATGCTTTCGCAGTTTGTAGCCTTGTTCAATGTTAGAATCAGCAAGCAATATACTACCTTTTACTCACCTGTGCCCGCACGGTTCATCCTCGTTAGCTCAAATATGCGTGCCACAATTAATCCTTCGAGACGGTCCAGGGCACGCTGGTATTTCCGATTGGCCACGAGCCTCCCAACCCTCTGCCACTCTCCATCGTGCGGAGTCCAGCGTTTCTCGACCTCGAGCTTGCACTCCAGTGCCTGGACGAGCTTCAAATATCTCTCATGGTCCTCCAAAGCATGCCGTCGGGCAGTCTCAGCGTTGCGAGTATTCTTGACGTGCGCATCGTATGGCACAGCCTCGAGGTGCGATGAGCCCTGGAATGATGTCATTGAAGCGCGTAGAATTTCCCTATGTAAATTGTGTCAGCGGGTACAAGGGCCATAGCTTGACATCGAAACTCACTCGCTCGCAGTAAGATTAACTAACTTCTGCCAATATTCCATCTGCAGAGTTTCGACCTCGGGTTCTCGCATCAGACTTTGAAGATATACCTTTTCTTCCGCCAGCCAGCCCTCGAAAACTGCTACGTCCGTAACTTTGAGATCTCGCATAAGGTTTGGTAGGGTCGCGTCTCCGTCGCTCAAGATATCAAGCGCCTGCTTGTAATTGTTGTATAAAAAGTCGGCTAGCAAACACAAATATTACGTCAGCACACAGTCAAGTTTGACGACACGACGAGAAGGCTTACAAAGATTAGCGTAGACTTCAAAATCATCATTGTGCTCGAAGTAGGTGTCGATGGCCTGTTGTCTATGGAAGACGCTTGCGTACCGTAGTGCCGACGCTAAGGAATTGGATTTTGAAAACGTCCGTTCGCAAGTCTCGAGATCTTCGAGTCCTAAACCTTTGATGTAAGTGGTAAGCGAGTACAGTTGGCACAATCGCCGGTGCGCATGTCCGTGGAAGGCGCCGACAAGACAAGTGTGATGCATAGACCGTGCGAGGGGTCCGAGGGAACTGTTGTCAAGCGTGGTCTTGAATTGACATCCAATGTCATATCCACCGCCCAGATTGCTTCCAAATACGTCCAGCAACTTTGAGACAACGGCTAGAGGATACTTTGCGCTGATAGATAATCATTAGCTCGTGAACAACGCATTAAAAAAACGTAACGTACAGCTCCCCGCTCTGTACCATATCTGCAACAAGGAGAGAGAATCCGTGGCGGCACACGGCCACAAAAATGCCCGTTTCGTCGTAAATGCCCCATGCTTTCTTGGTCTTCGTATCGTCCATGTTCTTCCAGCGCGCTTCGCACAAGTTCTCGAGATGTGCGTCCTATAGGTTAGGGTATTAGCCATCACCAACCCGGATGGAAAGCACTCACCTCATCACCTGCAGTAGTGGAGTCCCGCGCGAACTGATCTACAAAAGTGCGGGATAGGTAGCGGTCACTTGCCAGTTGCTGCCCTGTTGGAAGTTCTGAAGATGTACCGAGGGACTCGTCAGTATCCAAGGATCTTCGAAGGACTCTTTTTAAAGAGTCGTTACCGTCCATAGCGTAGAGTAAGCTAAATGTCAACTCGGGTTCATCCGTCAGTTTATATGTACATGCGGGACAGGCGTGTTTCACGCGCCAATCAGGCGTGTTGCGTCGTAACGATTCGGCTACCATGGCTGCCACGGAGCGTCGAACTTGAAGATATAAATCGAACGCAATCGAGAATTGTCGAGATAGATGTCTGTGGAAACTAACCTGCGCGTGAATCAGCACGATAAGAACCAAAGAAATCAGAAGACATACACCATGTAAGTCGCACATAGTCTTGACGAAAGCCTGGATAGACAATTGAGGGCTCCTAAGATGTGCTACACGGTATAAGTCCAGAGCTTCGGTGGTGATCCCGACAGTCGGTGATATTGGTGAACAAGGCATCACGCCTTGACGAACGAGCGCACTGCTGATAGTGGCGTCTGCTGGCAAGATTCGAAGAATGACTTTCTCAGCGTCTAAACAATATGCCGTCATCAAATCGTAAGCAAACGACAACAGACCGACTTACTCACAGAACACGTCTATCACGCTCATCGGCCACTGACCGTAGTCAAAGCCATCCAGCCCTAGGTTCTCCCTCTCCAATCTCTCAAAAAACCCTTCCTTACATTTTGCCAGGCTCCACGCAAGGTACGCGTCCGTTATCGCTGGCAGCTGCTCAGCAAACGCCTTGTTCCTACGGAGGACACGATCACGACGGGTGCGGTTATCCACCCGTCGAACACGATTGTTGCTGCTCGCAAAGGTAAGTCAAATGTGAAGGTCATGACAAAATTCACTCACGTTTTCCAAAAGTCTCCTAGAACCTCTCTTGCAAGGTCAGTGAACTCGCCACCAGCATGGCTGATGGCGAGCGGCTCTGTTCCATCGCAGACGTTGCCAAAGCTGAAGTCATCGTAGTCATCCTGCCAGCCATCGATGGTGCTATTATTGTCCTCTTTCAGCGCTTCGAGTGCCCGACGCTCATCCAAACTCATAGCTATACAAAAGGTTTTTTTTCCCCTTCCAAGTATTGAATTAACATAGCGTACCTTGTAGACGTGCTTGCCGCCGCTCATTGGAACTTGCTGCTTGCTGGACCAACTGCCTGTGCTTGAGTACTTTGGAAATGGAGTTGGCTGGCAATCCGTTGTTGTCCCTCGGTGCCCTGATGTGCCGAACCGATCGCAGAGAGATATTTGTGCGGACTCGCTGACGTGCTGCATTTTTTCGCGCCATTCAGACCTATCTAAAGTTTGTACTACTGTCACAGTCCGATCTATTTCTCACGTGACTGATTATAGACTGTCTAGCACTCTGACCAAGCCGTTCGTGAGATCGCTCCTATGTCAACACCATCCAGTGGCCGCCCTACCCAGGGTGGCCATATTCAAGACCTGCACAATTTGCTGCAAGGTATGACACTGTCAGGTGCGTCTTTCAACAATCCAGAAATTAATACACTGACACTCGATATAGATTCATCATTCGATACCGTGACTTGGAGCCGCAAGACCACGGAAGAGTCCATCAGCCTGTCGAGATCATCGTTCACGCCGTCCACGTCCACCAGCACTCGTTCCGTTCCGAAGAACAAAGCACCCATTCCCCCTTCCACTTCAGCTCGCTCTACTGCTACACCATCCCACCCTCATCCTCAAGCTTCATCGATGGTTGTGCAGACACCCCGCCAAGTCACGGCCTCCATTCCGATTCCTAGTGCCATCCGTCCTCCACGAGCCGATCAGACACCCGAAGGATTCTGGGTGATAACGGTTGGGCAGGAAGTTGGTGTGTTTTACCGCTGGTAAGTGTGACGTGTACTATGGGTACCCGTTGGCTTGTGTTGGCTAATTCTTGACAATGTTGTTAGGGCTGACGTTGCCGAACGAACAAATTTTATCAGCGGTAATATTCAAAAACGATACACATCGTTTCAGCGGGCATTAGCAGCATATACAGCCAGCTATGATGAAGGCAGGGTCCGGGCGGTTCCACTGGCAGGTGGCCCTTTCTGGCCATCCCCTCCAGAGTCCTCGCCCAACCCTCCTTCACCTACATTGTCTATGGGCTCATCTGCGAGTGAAGACTCACTATGGTTGCAGGTCGAAGACTTGACGGAGACAATGAGCCAGCTTTAATACTATATCGTTTACGTTGTGCGCTGTGATGTGCGCTGTGATGTGCGCTGTATATGTATTAGAATGACAAAATGAACACGCGAAACGCGCCTTACTCGTTATACCAGAGCCATACATTTGTTGGAATATTCATTGATAGTGTAGAAATCCAGCGTGCACAGAAAATCATCATATGTTGGTCAGTGTGTCACTAGCACAATTGCATCATGCATCAACCGCTACATACAACCCTGTCATATTCATAACATTCTGCACGGAATCACCACAACATTTTACAGCTTCGGCTCAAGTATGCATGTCTACCTATTCCTAATAAACACCTCACCATGTTCAATATTTTTCAACAGTGTTGCATTCGCGAGCCCGAGCATCCGTACACTCATGTTCGCTATCCGTTCGCTATCTGTTCGCTATCTGTTCGCTATCGTTCGCTATCCGTTCGCTATCCGTTCGCTATCGTTCGCTATGTTCACTGCTGGATCATCTCAGAAAGCTCTTTGCAAAGACGGATTCCCTCTTGATTGACTACGATAATCTACTATTTATAATGTTCATTATCTAGTTTCACCTCCATGAACTTTACCTCTGAAATCACGGAAACCAGTAAGTCGTATAGTAGAATGCTGTCATACTTAAGACGCTCCCTGCAATAAGGGCAACTGGTGTGTACAATCTCCCTTATGGCTTCCAGGATCTTCCTCCCCTCCAAAACATGCAGCGCACATTGGTCCAAGAAAATGTCAGTCTCACTTTCCCCCTCCGCCCGAGCGTGTGCGAGTGCTTCCTCGTATACTTCTCCCCATGTATCTTCTGCTACCAACCATACCAACCACTCCTTTCGCCACCTCTGGACGATTCTCTCCGTCGAATTTAGCGTTTGAGAGTCGCAGGGGCAAGGTAAGTCGTTATCCATCGTGAGCACTGAATCGTCGTTGGCGTCCCAGGACAGGTCTTCGCAGTTGTCGACTGATGATGTGATGGCGGAATCGTCGTTGGCGTCCCAGGATAGGTCTTCGTAGTTGTCGACTGATGATGTGATGGGTGCCGCTGTTTGATCTTCGATCTTTTTTTTTTTCTTCCTGTAGAGTAATTAAGTAAATGACGCCCATGGCAATATACGAGACCTTACCTTGCCCTATTGCTAAAAGAAATCATGTGAGCACGAACAGGTAGAGTTGTGTGGGGGATGGACTCACAACGCTACTCGAGCACGAGCCTTGGCGTTTTGAGCTTCTCGAACTCTGTGCAGGGGTGGTAAGCAAAATTTCAGTGACTCAAAAAATTGACCTACCCTGGCTTCGAGAGCCAACGTTGCGTAGCTGTGCGCTGCCTGGATGATAGGCCGCGTGATGGCCCCTGAGTCGAACGTCTCTGTGAATGCACAAGTTAGACGTGCAGATTGAAATGTGAAGAATTGTGCTTACCATGATTTGGGGGGAAAGGAACGATGGGCACGGTGCCATAAGACATCGACAACTACTACTAAGAGTAATCCACATAATATTTTTTGACATCGACAGCTGGCAATGATCGAGATGATCGATGATATATGCACGGTAAATTGTTAAGCGCTTGTCAGCGGAAGCAATACGTGCTTACTAATGAGTTGTTGGTCCAAGTTTAGGCATTGCAGCCTTAACGCTGATGCGTGGTCTGAGTCTGCTTCATTGTCTTCCTTTGGCATGCTAGACATGCAACCACGGCCAATAGAATACTGGAATTCCGGCTTTGCAGCCAAAATCAAGCTCCGGACCTATGGTTGGAATTTGGACTCTGCTGGAATGGACACCCAGTATGTCAAAAGGTATGTAGCGGGTTTGTACCTCCTGAGCCACATTGACCTGGCTGATGGTTTTTATACAGATGCAAGTCCAAGGCATTCTATTGTCTCGAAGGCCCGCGCATCGTGACGAATTGCCGTTGCGCTCTTGAAGGCCTGCGCATTGTGATGAATTGCCGTCGCACTCTTGTTCCTGGTTGGCTGCTAACCCCGCTCCTCCTCACTCATCAAAATAATATTAACCTCACTCATCACGCCGGCATTTACCTTGACGAATATATCACCTCCCTCACTCGTCATACTGGCATTCCCCCCCTCACTCGTCAAAGTGGCATTTACCTGGATGAATACATTTCCTGGACGGACGCATTCCAGCCGAGCTATGCCATATCATGGAGACCCGAGTTGCGCAATATTGAAGGTATGCACTGATCAGCACTGCATTGCACTGCCTCTACTAATATGTGCCTAAGTGGTTTCATGTCAACCTCAAGATCTTACACCGATTTATGCATATTTTTTTTTCAAACAAATGGCGTTGAATGATAGGACGTGCGCAACGCGTCGCGTGTCGTGTTTTTGCGTGATCTATCTGATCCATCGCATGCCAAACTTTGAAGCCGTGTCCCCGTCTACATCGTTCGTTTGAGTGATTTATACGATCCATCAGACGCCAAAGTTTGAAGATACGTCCCCGTCTACACATTTTTCACTCACAGCTCTAAGTATGAGCTACCTCTACACATCCGATGATTTTAACGCCAACGGCGATTTTATCTCAGCCGGAGGTTTTCTGGATTTGCTTCCTGGGGGGGGAGGTATACTTCCCAGCTACCCATACCCAACAGGCGACGATTCCGATCCGATCAGCAGCACTGGCAGTGAACGGGTTCCCGGGATCAGTCAGATGAACTGGGATGACCCGTCCCTGTACACAATGCCACTTACCAATGACGAAATCGCGGCTCTAACTAACGACATAGCAGCCACAAATATCCCAACCGTGCCAGAGCTCCCCGCCCCCCCACCAGTTGCCTTCGCGAATACCCTCCCTGCTCGCACACCGTCACCTCAGCCTACTTCAACGCATGACCCAGACTCACCGAGTCCTGCCGAAGCAGAGGCGCCAGACACCAGTGGAGAGATGCCAGAGTCACTCCGTGAGGCAAACATGTCCTCCTGGGCAGCACGGAACCCAACACGAGCGATTATCCGCCCTCGGACACCACCACCTCGACTAACAGATGCCCAGAAGGCGTCTCGAAAGATCAAGCGGGACCAGAGGCTAGAGAGAACGAAGCACTTACACGACGCAGTTGCTGAATACTTAGATGCACAGAAAACGAAGATCGAAGCGCTCTCGCGGGCTCATCATGTTACTCCCAAGCACATCAACGATATCATCGGCAGTCAGGACTCATTATCGAACCTCGCGCAAGAGTCAATTAATCAATGCACTTGTTCACGCCAAGGCGAAAGAGATGAACGCAGGTGAGTCAAATGAATTTCAACTCAATTGTATCACGAAGCTTATCCTGCATCAACTAGACCGACCCGCAGGCGCTCGGTACTCGTTGGCGGAACTCCGCCAGATGGTTGCGTCCGACCCTGAAACAAAAGCCCTTACCAGGGAAGAAAAGGAACGCTACATCGCAGCTCTCGAGGAGCATCGTGAAAAAAGGTCATTAGTGTTCGGGCGAACAATCTGGCGGCTGCACGAGATGTTGTAGCCACAACGGATAGGATCGTCAAAGAGGTACGTCTGAATCTTCAATCTTCACGCAATCAACTGAATTCATTTTTTTCTTTGAAGCTGGATGATCTGCGAGTTCGGACTGGTGTCTATGGCACACTATTTGTTGTCCGCGTCACATTAACGATAGCATTCAAAGCGCTATGCACGGCACGGATAACTCTGAAGACTTTTGGGAGGATGTGTACGAGCATCCTATGGCTGACTTTCTTAGGCAATACGAACAATGGGCATGCACCCAGAATCAAAGTAAGTCCTTCGTCTCTTCACATAGTTTGTGTACTTATGCATCGTCCGGTAGATCTCAATGAACGCACTCTTTGGAAGCTGTAAGAAAGCAAGTACGCAAGATGATCCTCCGGGGCCTAGGTGAGTATCGACGTTCTACAAATTCTGCCCCGTCTAACATTATGCACAGTTGCTGTGACCGGCAAAAAAGATATTGTGATGAACTACCACAACTATGAAACATCCGTCATCGAAACGTATGGGGTGCGCCTTGTGGGCTGGCCCAATGGTGTCAAGTTCACTAGCCCTTCGAACATCGGGACCGTCGGCGACATTCGCAAGCTCCGGGATGCCCTCAAGGCACGTACGTGCTACTGGACAGTTCTATCACCGGCAGAGCTCAAAGCTCACGCGTCTGAACTCGACACGCGTTCAGCCGGGGAAGTCGTTCGGAAGCCACGAAAAAAGCGTTCGGATGCTGGCGTACCTCGCAAGCGTAAAGACGGGTCCAGCGCAGGACGGGTAAACAAGGAGAATATCAGGCCTTCGAAGAGAGCAAAGAAGAACTCTACCCAGCTGCAGGAAGGTCCCAAAAGCGCTGAGTTTGTAGAGTCTTCTGACGAAGAGGAGGAGGGGCATGAGTAGTAGTATTGCATTGCCTTAGTCTACATTGTATGACTCATATACGTATCCCAATCATTACTAGTGAATTGTTTGTCAAAACGCGCTCTTAATCCGACCACCTTGAAGTGAGATACTCGAGCTCGTCGTGTGACACGACGAGCTCGAACGTTCCATCACTATGCGACGTTGGGCACGGTAACCGGATCACATGATTCTATTAATAGTACGGTAATACTGACAACCCTCTGCGTACCTACAGCTATATAAAGTCCCTAGCTATCCAGGAGATATTGGAGGAGGCCCTGATCATTATTCCGCCTGATCTTACAGGTGCGACACACGTGCATTATCACCTATAACTACAGTGCTTACGTGGGAGTCACAGGTGTCATGCGAATAGAT